ATAGAGTGTGATTCCCTACATATTCATTAGAAAATCAGCCTGGGTCTTGACCTACCCTACTTTCTCTCTTCTTCATCTTCTTTTCCCACTTTACTACCTAACCCCATTATATCTCCCACCCACTTAACTCCAACCTTCTTCCCTCTGCTCCTTTCTTAATGATCACTCCCCTTAGGCGCTCCAGCACATTTTGTGGTCAACCCCTTCGCCTCTGACACAGCTGCTGCACTCCTAACCTGTGTTGAGTTCTCGCTCGACCACCCTTTCTGGGCAATCACAATAGCCTATTGTTACCTGTAAATTAACCTCTTGCAAAAAAAGTAAAAAAACTCGTAGTAAAAAAACGTTGAAAAATGGCCTGGATGGGAAGGGGGTTTAACACCGCGGATGTCAACTGGTTAATAGACTCCAGAAAGCCCACAGGCTCTAATATGTAACCCCATATCAAGTTTACCTCGACCTACTTAACTTACAATTTCTTAACATGGACCATGTGCATTGCTCTAACAGTTCGCCTGCAGCTTCAGCCTAATTTACCCATTGCTGTTCATGAAATTTGTTCCTACATTGTCAAAAACCAATGAAAATTTTGTGAAAGAAAAATGAGCCTGAAAGTCATTAGCAGAGCTCTTTGATTTCAGATACTATAGAGAATTGATTTTGTTATAAAAATCTGTTTACTAAATCATTGTTTTCTATTGTCCTACTTTGTTGAAGAAAGACCTAATAAATTACAATCTCTGTGTCATTACATGCTTCACTACATTGGCAGCATTGCCGCCATACATTTAATGTCCACTCTATTTGACAAAGTTCAAACACAAGGAAGTTTTATTTTTTGTGGGAGAGTTCAGAGGTTGCGTTACCTTGCTGTTTAGGATGTTTATTTAGAGTAGATAGATAGTACTTCCCTCTGTAGAAAAGGAGTGCTGTCTCATGATAACTGAAACCTGTTCATATTTCAAAGCATTCTTGGGTCCAAGTGCATGACTGGTGATCTAAAAAAGATTATCTCACTACTTTCTAGTGAACATGTGCAGCTTGTAATTAGAAAAACATTGCCTTCTCACCTTTCTGTATTTTGATCCTGGTTTTTTAGTTAAATTTTAGGTTCTGTAACCTACTGCAGCTTGAGTGAAAGGTTCAGTGGACATTTTAGAATGTGTGGATTTTACAATACCTGGGGGGCTTCTACTAAGAAACTAATGATGTTTAATCTAGCCATGCTTTAATGCAGCACAGTTGTCTTAACCCCAAGTCCCTTTTCACACCTGGGTGTTTTGACGCTCAAAGCTAACTGCAACAAAACTCTCAATACAAGAGATCCCATTCATTTCTATGGCCTCGATTGAAACCTGAGAGTTTTTTGTCGCAAGCTGTAGAATGCTGGAAAAGGTGCATGAGCTTCTTTTGGGCAGATTACAGCGCGTTTGGCCGCATAGACGTCAATGGAAGGGCATGAAACCGCACGACACAAGTGGTTTGCAGATTTCGGTGCGCATTTAGTACGCACATTTGCTCATTCACGGCAATGCATTTCAATCTGCTCAATAAAGCGTGCGTCCTTTGTGTGCGTATAACGCGCGGAAACGCTGACGCCTAGGTGTGAATAAAAACTAAACAGTACCTCAAAGGTGAATTACTGCCTTTCAGCCGCACTATTGCTGAATACCAACAATATTAAGGAAAGATTAGAATCCTGTTAGGGTTTTATGGCTAGCTGTCGCTGAGAAAGGAAATGTGGCGAAATGTTTCTGATGGAAACTCGGAACAGCCGTAAAAGCACATTTAGTAGTAGTAGTAGTATAAATAAGAGTTAGAAGGCTTACTATGGCGATTATACTTTGGAAATTGTATTCCATGTGTCTGAGTACCACCAGGACAGGCTTTTGAAGGTAAATCTCCCTTAACTACTTGCTGTCCGGAGCAATTTCTTGATATTTGCACACACATGATAAAATCTGAATTTTTGGCTAGAAAACGGCTTCAGGCCCCCAAACGATTATATTATATTATCTTAAGGCAGAGGCCCTGTAGAATAAAAAAAAAATGCTAGTTGCAATTTTTTATGTCGCAGGGTATTTGCCCAATTGTTTATCAAACCAGTATTTTTAGTATAAAATAAACTCAAATTAAATTTAGTGCACAGAAAAATAATATAATACCCAATGTTTTGGTAAAATATAAAGGACTGGGTCACGTTGGGTAAATAGATACCAAACATGTCAAGCCTTAAAATTACGTGCGTCCGTGAAACCGCAAAAAACTAGAACAATACCCCAAATTTCCCATAGGCCACGCTTTAAAAGCTTTTACTGCTCATCATTTTAGTGTTACCAGTGATTGATTGGCCCTAGAATTATTGCTCTCACTCTGACGTTCGCGACGTAGGTGCACCCAACGTGCTTGCGTTGTATGTGGGGGGGTGAGGGACTTGGAATAAAAAAAAAACACATTTTTATGTTTTATTTTTTATTTTTTTTTTAATCTCAACTTTAGTGCCATCACATAGGGGGCTAAGAAGCCCCCTATGTAATAGCAAATATAATGTGACAGGTCCTCTTTATGGAGACATCAGGGGTCTTACAGACACCTAATGTCACCTAGGGACCCCAAAGAAGCGGAGGAAGCTTCCCCAGCTTCTCCCTTCCGAGTCCAGTGATTGGAGGGGAGATTAGTGGCTGGAAGCCTGCTGATCTCCCTCCGATTAGTCAGAGGAGACTTGTCTTGCCAGTCCTTGACCTGCACGGGGGACAGCGGAGCCCGGGGAAGCTGGCAGCATTGGGGGGTGCACACCGCACCATACAAGTGATCCGATGGCTGTACGGCCGTTGGAATGCTTTTATTTAAACAGCAGTCGCCTGCTGTATAAAATGATACCAAGTACACGGCTGCCTGCAGCAGCCGCCTCAGGGGACTTATTTTTTTACACTGGGCATTCCTGATCATTAAGCATATGTAGGGTTGATAATGTTTGTTTAAAGACCAAGTGCACTTTTTATACCATGCTTCATGTTCTACCCATATGTAACCTAAAACACCATCCCAATGGGAAGAGGAGACACGGGGCGGCTGCTGAGGTAGAGGGGGCAGCGGGGGATTGCAGAGTCAAAGCGGTCTTTCCCTGCTGGTTCTGGGAGCAGTAGTCTTCCTTCTACCCTTAAAGTAGAAGGAAAGGATAGAATAATCCACATTTAAAACTGTGCCTTACAAACAACAAACTAGTAGTCCCATCAATGGAGCCATTTTTAAAAATGAATTTTATTTTTTATCCGATTAACCGATTAATCGAACTTAATAATCGGCTAACTAATCGATTTTGAAAATAATCGTTAGCTGCAGCTCTAGTTGACAATAAGGGGGGGCAGTGGAATCTGGGGGATGACATCACGGCTCTGTGTAATTGAGCCCTGTTAAGCAGCTCATTGATAGACATTAGTTGGAGCTTTGCAGTCACCTGACCACTTGGAAGAAGATAAAAAATAAATGTATTTACACTGAGATTTCTTGCAAACAGTATGCAGCATGGGGAGGCAACATTGAAGGTTCTCTTGGCCTTTGCTTCTACTGAAGGTTTCCTCTTGAAGTAGGGTCTTGGCAGCCTGCCTACTTTCAAATGTAAACAAACAGCAGGCGCTCTAATCTGTACAGAATGCTTCAAAAGTATAGTGACGTCTCAGCACTTCCTCAGAGTACAAGGGGAGCTGTTTTGTCCACTACCTCCCTGCAGCAGTAGATCACTATTAGAAGTTACAGACTTGCATACTCTTTTATCTCCAAACTACGTTTTAATGTGTCTTATGTATGTAGACTATTTTTGCATGGCACAGAAGCAGAACAGATTAATTTCTATGAATATTTAAATACGAAGACTCCTGTCATCAAATTTTCATTAGAGTACTGCTAAAAGAAAAACCACTATTTGGATGTGACGGTCTCAGTAAAAAGACATACCACTCACTGACATTCTGATATTGGCATGCTGATTATTGCAAGCTTAGCTGAAGTACATGACGTGATAAAGAGATGGGAGCGTTTCCCTCAAGCTATATAGGTTAAACTACAATGGGCTTTTGAGATGGTTTTAGTAAGCATAATCAGATCAGATACATTGTAAGACATTAAGTGAAGCTTGACAGTGATAGAAATATTTATGGACCTCTGGACATAATAGGATTGCTTTCCTAAAGGAACAACCTGTACTTTAGTAAATCAACCCTGGTATTTCACAGTGGAGTTTTAATGCAATAGATGAAGTACAGCCACCAAAAGGAGGTGTTGAATTTCAGAAATAAAGTGAGATGATGTGGACTTGCAAACATAAATCAGCAGCGATGGGTCTGAATTCAATAGTTTTGCATAGTTAGCTTCTTAGGGTAGCACCCCTACTTTACTTTTTTTTTTTCTCTCTCTCTCTTGGTGAAAAAAAATGTTGTAACATGTTTTTCTTTACTCCTCCTTGTTTTATAAATATTTTTCTTTCAATTGATGGAGGAAACTTCTTTAGGGCTAGTTCACACCAAACGCGTTGCAGATGCAGAGTAGTTACAGAACGGATCAAAACTCTGTCCAATGTATTCCAAACGTATTTTGGGCTCTAGTTCACACCGCAGCATTCAGTTCCAGAGCATGTAAAAAAAAACTGCAGCAAACTCTATTTTACCTGCTCTGGAATGCATGCAAACGCATCAAAAAGCATGCAAATGCCCAGGAAAGCACTAAAAGGCCATTTTTTACAAAACGACACGGAACGCATGAAAAACACAGCAAAAACCGTGGCTTAACGCACTGCGTGGGCAGAATCTCATGCAGATCTGGTCTGCATTTGGTGTGAACAAGCCCTTATTCTATAAAAAGTTCCTTGTTTACTCTAGGCAGCATTTTGCTAGCTGGTTTTGAAAAAGCATATTAAGGATTAATGTATATATCCCTTATTTTGGAAGAATAAAAAGCAGTTTACTTTTTCATATTTAATGTTTTCTCGTTTTGTTTTTTTTAAGGATTTGGAATTCCATGGAGTTATGAGATTTTACTTCCAAGATAAAGCTGCAGGAAACTTTGCAACAAAATGCATCAGAGTCTCCAGTACAGCCACAACACAGGATGTCATAGAAACTTTGGCTGAAAAGTTCCGTCCAGACATGAGGATGTTGTCCGCACCTAGATATTCTTTATATGAGGTTCACGTGAGCGGAGGTCAGTCTTTATTACAAAATGCTTTTTTTCTTCTTAAAGATTAAGTTGTAATTCCTACTTATGTCTTTGCATATAACAATGTCACAGCTTGATCACAACTTCTAATATAGGGGGCACAAATGGTTAACAGCACACCGCGTCACTTTTTCTTTATGTATGAGATGACAAAATAGTGTACACCTCACTACCAGGAACAGTCTCTTGCCAGCCTGATCATAATTACAACATAAACATGACAACATTTATAGCCAGGCTAAAGTTTGAGTACAAAGGAGGAGCTTTCTGGCTTCAGGGGGATATCCTGTATTCTTGTATATCCTCCCTTTATAACTAGGCAATAACTACAGTTCTTTCACTGAAATTTATGTTTTAAGCAATGTAACATCATAACCTCCTAAGTAGGGATGCACCCATACCATTTTTTTCCAGACCGAGTACAGATACTTTTGCTCAAGAACTTGTTGATACCAATAACTGATTTTTTAAAAAATGTTTTGTGTCGTGGCAGCTTTTATAAAGCAATACAGGCTAATGATTTTAGGACAGTGGTGGAGCACCCGGGCCTGCGACCCTGGTAGTTCTGCCATTGACTTCAAGCTGTAAAGGGACTACAGTTTACAGCAAAACATTATATAGCACTGCAGAATACCACCAGCTGTAGTGGACTACAAATCCCAGCAATGCATTATTAGTGCTGCAACAAATCGATAATGAGAATCGTTAATGAGAAGATTACTTCTCATTATCGATTAGTTGATTCCGATTTAGTTGATTTAGCTCAGCCCAACCCCACAACTCTGCTCACACATGAAACATCCCCCCCGCTGGTGCAACTCTGCTCAGATGTACCACCCCCAGCCTGCCGCAGCAACTCTGCCTGTATCGGCAGTGGCAGCGGGCATCGGAGAAGACACAGGCCGGCTGTCAGGTACAGGGAGGGGGGATGGGTGGGTCAGGTGCGGCGCTGCTGGACAGGTCGGGGGAGCTCAGAGGCAGTGGGTGTGTGCAACAGCCAGTTTGCTATTGGCTATTGAAATTTAAAATGACCAATAGCAGGCTGGCTATTGCACCCACTCATTGCCTGCTGTTTACTTTCCCTGGCTGAAGCTATTCCCTAGCCCCTAATGTCACCCTAAATAGAACCTGTCACCTCATATGTGCTATCACAAAGGGGGCTTTTGAGCCCCACCATGTGATAGCAATAAAATTAACAACAAAAAAAGGTCAAAAAAAGACCCCCCGCGAAAGCCTGCATAGGAGCAGAAACACACGTTGGGTTCACCTGTGTACAAAAAGGACAATTGCGCTATACATGTGAGGTATTGCCGCGTGCCCCAGAGTGAGGGCATTAATTCTCAATATTCATGGCTAACTCTAAACTGATGACTAGGCATGTATATGTGTGTGTATATGTATGTACATATACACATATACACTGAGTGGCCAGATTATTATGACCACCTGGCGGTTGTTGGCAAATTAGCTATAATTTCGCGCTGAAGTTGCTAGAGGGCCAGACCATTATAAATAGGGAAGTAGGTTGTTTACTACGACAGTAGAAGTGATTTTTTTCTGAAGGTATGGTTGGTGTCCCAACGAAGTACTGATGGGGTGGTCATAATAATCTGGCCACTCAGTGTACAGGGGTGTGGACATTTTTGAAAAAACTACTTGTCCAAGGGCTAATGGGCGGGGGCCAAATCTACTTGTCTCAATACAAAAAAAAAAGGTTGAATTAAAACTAGGGATGCACCAATACCGGTTTTTGGGTATAGAGTACGAGTACCGATATTTTGCTTTCGGTACTCACAGAGTATCAGTGCTTCCTTTTGCATGGAGCAGGCTTCCCGGGCAATCAGGAAGCCAGGCAGCGGGTAATGAGATGCTACCCGGCTTCCTGACTGCCAGGGAAGCCGACTCCATGTTGTTTGGCCGGCTTGATTGTGAATGGCTGGGAAGCC